CTGCTGGTCCCCCTGTAGGTTGATTTCTTGCTTTCTGTCTGTCTCTCTCTGTCCTTCTGACAAGCCCACACGCCCTATAGCAAAAACCTCTCAAAAAAAAAAGGAAAAAAAGTTTTAAAAGTTAAAAAAAAAAGATATTGCAGTATTAGGAGCCCATTCCTGTGAACAGCTGGTTATGGCGCTGTGTGATACCAAGCCAGCTTACAGATTGGAGAAAAATGTCCCTTTGGTGTTTCTTTGCTGACCATTGGCTGGGACAAGCGCTATGGCTTTCAGCTCTGTCAGAGTGACGCTAGTGGAAATTACGGGGGCTGGAAAGCCACACGCATTGGAAATAATAGCGCCGCAGGCGCGTCAATGTTGAAGATTACAGAGAAGGAGGAAAGACTTTGAAACCGCCCCTTGCATTAGCTATCAAAGTACTAATAAGGCCATGGATGTTAGTAAACTGTCTCCTGAAAAAGTGGAAATTGCCCAGCTGACAAGAGAGCATGGAAAGACCGTGATCAGAGTTCTCAAACGAAAGGAGGTGGAGCAGTTGATCAAAAACCACGAAGAAGCAGCAGCCAAAGCTGAACGCGAAAAGAAAGAAAAAGAACAGAAAGAAAAGGATAACTAGGAGACAAAGTTGGAGATTTTCTAACTCATTTGGAGCAACATTTCGGTGTGAAAGCCGTCCTACTCTTCCACACTGGGCAGTATTTGCCCATTTTTTAAAGTGTGCAGTGGAGAAATAGGACACACATACCGAATTGGGTCCCTGTCCTTCCTGTCCACCCGAGTACTTCACTGTAAGGATGATGGTAACTTGTCATGGACCTCTTCATCTCCCCCACACAGACCCCTTTTCTTTTTTTTTTTGTAAAAATACTTGGAAAGAATGGAGGGGGGGGATTAAACTTGTTGAACAAAAAGATTGTCTTTTTTTTTTTAAGTTTTCTTTTCTTTTTCTTTTTCCTTTTTTTTAGTTTTTGCTATAGAGTGTGTGCACTCACTGGAGACAGAGAGAAGGGAAAGTGAGAAATCCCCCCCATCCACCCCGCTGGGAAATGGATTACCACAATCCTTGTCCTCTGTTCTCATCCTTTCAGGATTTTCAGGTACTAGGTCCAGGACTCAAAACACACTGTTGGCCAGGTGGGACCCATCTGCCTTACCTCCACAGCACCTGCTGGCCCTGTTTTCTCTTCTTTATTCATGACAGAGTGTGTGGACGTGCACATGAGAGAGAATGTGAGATAAGCAGCCTCCATGGGGTCTGGCCATGCCACAATCTCTATCCTCCAGCCTCAATCTTGGGCACTTGCACACAAGCCCAGCATGTTTTCAGGCCAACCTAGGCAAGGGGCTTGAACCATAATCACCAGGTGAGCTTTTGGCTTTTCTTTTTAATTCTTTAAAAAAAAAAAAAAACTATTTTATTCCATTTTATTTATTTAGTATGTTACTGTTTTTTAGTATTATTATTTTTTTTAATTTGACCAAAGAGAGACAGACAGAGAGGGAAAGCGAGAAAGCCAATGCCATGTCCAGGACTCGAACCACTGATGGCTATGTGGGAATCCAGCGCCCCAACCACCACACCACCTGTCAGCCCCAGGTTTTGGCTTTCCTTGAGCAGCATGTTACATTACACCACAGGGCTGGCCAAAGCTGTCTTAAGTCCAGTGCTCTTTCAACTTCTTTGGCCCTATAAAACCAAATTTCACAAGCTCTGCCTGAAAGCCAAGTTTCTAGTCATCTTCTCCTTCTCCTTCTCCTTCTCCTTCTCCTTCTCCTCCTCCTCCTCCTCCTCCTCCTCCTCCTCCTTCTCCTTCTCCTTCTCCTCCTCCTCCTTCTCCTCCTTCTCCTCCTCCTCCTCCTTCTTTTTCTTTTTTAAATCTTTCCCTTGGTTCTTCCTCCTCCATTGCTCTCTAATGTGTATCATGAAAAGATGATCTGCAATAAAGCCTCTGCCTAAGGGCTGATTACCCCAGGAAGCTGACATTTCACTCCTTCAAGAGTAAATCCCTAGTACATCAACCAATATGGATAAATCACAAAAGCTTCATGTGGAACAAAAACGTTAGCTGCATAATGACGTGTATAGAAGAGAACTCGTTATACATTACTGTGTTGCCACATGTAACTTCTTTAGTAGTCAAAGAACATGAGATTTGATTAAATCAAAATTCCAGTAAACAAAGTTGGAAGCTGAAAAATCCCAATTATAATGTACACCTTAATCAATGAAAGACACTGTGCTAGTAACACAAATAAGTTTTAAAAATATCCGGCCAAGTTTAATATCTTTGTAGTAAATATAGGCTTTGGCAGTAACCTAATTCTGCCCATATCTCTGCCACCCAGCTAGGCATATTTTCATATTATTTCTACTCAAAAGCATGAATCTAAAAGGCACTGCATGAACATGCATGAGTAAGTTTGTACCGGCTAAATGGTGACATGGGAGTTGATTCTTCCTCCCCTGCCCTCACGGCCTCATTTACAATTATATTTCAGTTATCCTATAACATGAGGATGTTGCTTTCAATAGTGCATTGAGGTATTTTATAAGAATTCTGGGAACCAGCAGATGGTGTAATAGCTATGTTGCTGGACTCCCGTGGTTCAAGTCCCAGACCCAGTGGCTTAAACTCATACTCGGCGCGTGTGCATGTGTGCCCAAGATCCTGAGAGAAGAATGGAGAAGAAGGAATTGTGGTGTGGCCATCCCCCTGGGGGGTGATTTCTCACTTTCTGTCTCTGTCTTTCTGGTGAGCACACGCACCCTATAGCAAAAAACTCTCAAAAAAAAAAAAAAGAATTCTGTTATTTTCATGTGTCAGGTAGAGAAATATGGATAGGGTAAAGTGTGATAAAGGTCATTGCTGCTCTCCAGGTGAATATTTTTACCTAAACAGATTTATTAATAAGTTGATGACAACTTGATTCGATGTTAACTTCAGCATATAATTTAAAATTCTATAGTTCATTTTCTTTTCCTTTTTAAATGTATTAATATATAAACACCTAAAATGTGTACATATCTAATTTATAGATAATGTGGGACCAGGACTTGGCATAATGTTTATGTCACTGCACTTCCACATAGTTGTCCTCACTTCAAGTCTTGGAACAGTGGCTTGAAACTCATGGCGAGCGCATGTGTGTGCATGCCCAAGATCCCGAGAAGAGAACGTAGAAAAAGGAACTGTGGTGTGGCCGAACCCCTTGGGGAGTGATTGCTTGCTTTCTGTCTCTCTGTCTCTCTCTGTCTCTCCAGCAAGTGCACACGCCCTATAGCAAAAAATCTCTCTTTAAAAAGAAAGAAACAAACAAATTTGTCGATATTATAACCAGAGAACAGTAAATATTACATTTGAGAGAATTATTACCTTCAAATATTCACACTGGAGTCTATTCTTACATAGCCAGGACATCAGGATATTTCCCAAGGATCCCTCAAAGATCATTTTCACTTCAGTACCCAAATGAATGGGAAAAGTACTCATTCCTGAGGAAGGGAGCCCAGCCTCTTCCCAGGAACTCCCTGAACTCCTGGAGGCTATTATTAGTCTCTCCTACAGCCTGCTCCTGGAGCCTGGCAGCTGCTGCTCTCTACTCTTCCACGTCGCCTCTGGCTTGGAAAAATTATGGCACATGTCATCCCCCGTCTAGGCTCAGTTCTGCTTACACAAGCTTTTGTGTATTGTGCAGTTTTATCAACACTTTAAAAAAAAGAATTACTTAATTTTATTTGTTATTATTATTATTTATTTAATTTGACCACAGAGAAATAGAGAGCAATAAAGGAATAGTGAGAAAGCAAGCCACCAGGTCCAGGACTCAAACTGTGGTCAGCCATGTGGTAGTCTAGCTCCTTAACCACCATGCCTCCTGCTGGCCCCTCTACTGAAAGTTTAATGGTAACAGAAGGTTATAACGGCACAACACAGGCAGCAAGTTAAGAGTGAATATTAGACATGACTGCCCTAGGAATGCATTGGTCATTTCCACTATAGGACTTTCTACCCATCTATCTAGATGTCTGCATCTATTTATCATTTTGGTATAGGGCGTGTGTGCACGTCAGAAACAAGAGAGGGAAAGTGGGGACTTTCCAATCATGCCTCACTTGCTGCTATCTTCTTGACTTCTCCCTCTGCTGTGAACTTCCAAGACTTTCTGTAATCTACCATTTTCAGCCCACAGATTCCTATTACTTTTCTCATGTGAACTGTGTCAGCTTGCTCCCCATCTTCAACCTCACCCTTCCCACCATGCCTCACTCAAAGAGAACTGTCAAGGTACTTTGCTGACCCCTGCCCCAAAAAATCTCTCAAGGGGACCAGCAGTTAGAGTAATGGCTATGTCGCTGGACTCCCACGTAGTCGACTGCGGTTCGCGTCCTGAACCTGGTGGCTTAAAACTCACGCCGGGCGCGTGTGCATATGTGCCCAAGATCCCAAGAGAATGGAGGAGAAGGGATTGCAGCATGGCCATCCCCCCTGGGGAGTGATTTCTCGCTTTCTGTCTCTCTGTCTCTCTCTGTCTGGCGAGGCGCATGCCCTATAGCAAAAACCTCTCCAAAAAATAAAGCTTTCAACATGCTCTCTCCCCTTTTATGGATTAAGTCTGTCTTGCCCTTGATAGAAATACAACTGTTTCAATTATGGCTTTAAATGGCACCTCCCCTTTTTGCTGCATGTTCAAAAGTACAAGAAAGAGCAGGGATTGTGTCTACCATGTCTAGGTCCATACCTTATCTCTAATCCTCACTCACACCTATGCAGTAGTAGATGGTATCAGTCATATAGTACAAAGGAGGACACTGAGGCTCAGAGAAGATGAACAGACTTGCCTGAGGTCCCCCAGCCACTAATCAGTAGCGTTAGCTTGTCTGATTCCTAACCAGATGTCTGGATCTCTACCCGACGTGATGGGTAACTGCTCACCTCCCCCGATGCCCCAGGATGCCCTTCCTTTGTGCCTCATTCTTTATTCTCCATTTTCCTCAGGATTCCACGATGAGTTGGTGGAGGAACAACTTCTGGATCATCTTAGCTGTCACCATTATTGTTGTCTCCGTGGGCCTGGGCCTCATCATGTACTGTGTCTGTAGGTGGCAGCTTAGACAAGGTAATGGCGTCTCACCTGGGCAGGTAGAGGAGGGGAGGGGAGGCTATCAGTGCAACGGAGCTCCTTCAGGGTCAGAGGATTAGTTCTGGGCCTGTGTGGGTTGCACTTTAGCTAAGGCCTCATACATTTTGAACCCCGAGTTCTAACCCTGCCACTTGCTTATATCCCAGGGCCTCAGTATCTCCATCTGCATAGTAAAGGGTTAACTAATCTGTAAGAACTTTTCCAGCCCTCTGTGTTTGTGGAAAGCAGAATTCGCTTCAAGGCACAATACGCTCAAGTGCTTTCCCTTTCCTGTAAGGCTGCTGATCATGTCTCGGGCTTGAAAGAAAACACAAGTCTACGAAATGCCAAAAACTGTCTCGAGGAGTGAAATGCTAGCTCATGAACAACATGTTTGGCCACTCTGATTGCCTTCTCCAATATCACACTCCAAATGTTCTGGCCTTATCCTTACCTTGACCAAAGCTTTTAGGCATTCTTAGACAGAAATAAGTGGCTACCTGGGGATGAACGCTAACTTAAAATGATCTATAGTGGGTTTTCCACTTTGTTGTTCATCTCTTTTTTGTTTCTTTGTTTGTTTTACTAGTTGAAGTTTGTCATTAATATTTGCTGCTTTAGATTTTAGGGTTTTTTAAAGAGTTTTTGTTTGTTTGTTTGTTTGTTTGTTTTGCCATAAGGTGCATGTGCTCGAAGGATCATGGGGGGACAGACAGTCACAATGAGAGGAAAAGTGAGAAATCATCCCCCAGAGAGGATGGCCACGCCACAGTCCCTTCTCCTCCATTCTCCTCCCAGGGTCTTGGGCACACATGCATACACATCCCTGGCATGATTTTCAAGCCACCAGGTCCAGGACTTGAACCACAATGGGCCACGTGGGAGTCCAGTGATGTAACCGCTATGCCATCTGTTGTTACCTGGCTGTTCATCTCTGAAGACAAGAAATCCTTGATTCAACAGTGTCTTTCAATAATGACCTTAAACTAAGAGTATATCTGGAGATGGTGACACACTAAGAGGTCCGGCCACCTTGCCCTGGGGCACCCTGGCCTGGTCTCCCTCAATGATCAAGGTGCTATCTTGTTGCATCTGAACAGAGCCTCAGAGTCCTGCTCAACCCAGGTCTGAAAGGTCAGGGCTTCACAAAAAAGGTTTCACAAAAAGTGGAAACTCTTTGCCATTCTTCTCAATCTCTTCAGAGGTCAGAAAATTAGGCAGACAGAGCCTTAATTGAGGCCCCATATGATTTGGTGGCAGAATTGGGATCAGAAGTCAGGTCTGTTGGGGTCCTGGTTCAATGCTCTTTCTCCTCTATTCCTTAATTGTAACTATTCCTTTTCTTTTCTTTCTTATACAAAAAATATATTATGGGCCACTATTTGCCTTCTTAAAACTTGGCCTTCTCAAATATGGACAAATGTATGACCCTGGATAAAAACTTTACCTATTCTTTTATCTTGAACCATTCCTAGTAACAAGCAGGTTATAATTAATGATAACTTATATGAGAAGATCTTTAAAAAGTCAGGTAAAATGGATTAAGTATGAATTTATTTTGGTGCAAAACATTTCAAAATCTGTGCATAGTGTTTTTTATAATACACATTTTACATGAACTTGGGAAACCCCCTAGTATATCTAGCACACCACAGTTTACAAACTCCTTTTTCCCGTTTGTCTCATTTCTTCCCAACCACTCTTTAATTTTTTTAATTGCCAGAGGGCATGTGTGTTTGCCAGAGAGATACTGAGAGGGAGAGGGAAAATATACCCTCCAGTGGGATGTGGTCATGCCACAATCCCTTCTTCTCCATTTTCCATCTTGTTGGAATTTAGGGTATAAATACACATGTGCCTGGTATATTTTTCAAGCTTCTGGGGCCAGGAGTCAAATCATAGTTAGCCATTTGGGATCTGGCTCCCTTAACCACTAAGCTATGAGGCTGGCCCCCTAGCCACCCTTTTGATTATTTATCCAGCCAACTAGGCAATGAGGGAACAAACACAGCCACGCGGTTACTGCCCTCACTGAGTGAGCACATGGGCTCTACGCTCAGACAACCTGGGTTGTGTGCTCTGTGACTTGTGAGCCCTGGGTTCCCGAGTGTGTTTCCTGGTGGTGGTTCTTCCGTATGTCTTGGACCTTCCTGTCTCTGAGGATTTCTAAACTCTAAAATCACAACTTTGCTAATTCTTTCTAAATGAATATGCTTTACCCCCCTCACAGGCAAGAAGTGGAAAATTGTCAACTCCTTGAAACAAAATGAAAGAGATGAAGAAAAGATGTATGAGTAAGTAGAGGGAAATCCTTCTGCTTTTTAGTTTTGAGAAGTGCCTCCTAACTTCCACTCTTGCCCTTCCATTACTCTACTAGTTTGATGGCAAAACCCCACTTCCTGTGGAACTGCAAAGTATCCTATCTGCCAACTCTCCCCCACTTTAAAGGCCAAGATTGCAGGACATTGTAGATATAGGAGCCACCTGGCTCCCTTCTGTCAGAGTCCTTTCTCAACTTCATCTATTTTGACAAAGGACATAGGTCAAGCTCTGGTTCTGGATTCTGGGCCCACCACCCAGGCTATACTTCTTTTCTTTAGATAGGTTACAAGTATAGTAAAGCTATTGCACTGAACAAAAATATACTATTCACATTATTTTTGTATTTTGTGATATATTTTGGGCTTTATGATTGTTTTCTGTGTCAGGGATCTGCTGCAAGGCCCCTTAGATTTAATGATTCACTAGAAGAACTCATAGGACCAGAAAAGCTATTTTACTCACAGTTACAGTTTACTATAGTAAAAGAATACAGAATAAAGTTGGCAAAGGAAAAAGACATGTGAGGGGAGTCCAGGAGACACTAGGAGCAAGCTTCCAGTTGTCCTCTTCCAGTGGAGTCTCACGGATAGCCTTAATTCTCCCAAGGATGATATGTGACAACAGGTGCAAAGCACTGCCAGCCAGAGAAGCTCATCTGATCCTTGGTGTCCAGGGTCTTTTTGTTTGTTTATAGGTTTTTGCCATAGGGCACATGCTTGCCACAAAGAGAGGGAAAGTGAAAAATCATCCCTCCAGGAGGGAAGGACATGCCACAATCCCTTCTTCGTTCTTCTTTTGGGATTTTCGGCATGCACAGGCACCCAGTGTGATTTTCCCTTTTTTTTTTTTTTTAATTTATTTACTTTTAATCACACGGTTACTTTGTTGTTCATCTCTTTTTTGTTTCTTTGTTTGTTTTACTAGTTGAAGTTTGTCATTAATATTTGCTGCTTTAGATTTTAGGGTTTTTTTAAGAGTTTTTGTTTGTTTGTTTGTTTGTTTGTTTTGCCATAAGGTGCATGTGCTCGAAGGATCATGGGGGGACAGACAGTCACAATGAGAGGAAAAGTGAGAAATCATCCCCCAGAGAGGATGGCCACGCCACAGTCCCTTCTCCTCCATTCTCCTCCCAGGGTCTTGGGCACATATGCATACACATACCTGGCATGATTTTCAAGCCACCAGGTCCAGGACTTGAACCACAATGGGCCACGTGGGAGTCCAGTGATGTAACCGCTATGCCATCTGTTGTTACCTGGCTGTTCATCTCTGAAGACAAGAAATCCTTGATTCAACAGTGTCTTTCAATAATGACCTTAAACTAAGAGTATATCTGGAGATGGTGACACACTAAGAGGTCCGGCCACCTTGCCCTGGGGCACCCTGGCCTGGTCTCCCTCAATGATCAAGGTGCTATCTTGTTGCATCTGAACAGAGCCTCAGAGTCCTGCTCAACCCAGGTCTGAAAGGTCAGGGCTTCACAAAAAAGGTTTCACAAAAAGTGGAAACTCTTTGCCATTCTTCTCAATCTCTTCAGAGGTCAGAAAATTAGGCAGACAGAGCCTTAATTGAGGCCCCATATGATTTGGTGGCAGAATTGGGATCAGAAGTCAGGTCTGTTGGGGTCCTGGTTCAATGCTCTTTCTCCTCTATTCCTTAATTGTAACTATTCCTTTTCTTTTCTTTCTTATACAAAAAATATATTATGGGCCACTATTTGCCTTCTTAAAACTTGGCCTTCTCAAATATGGACAAATGTATGACCCTGGATAAAAACTTTACCTATTCTTTTATCTTGAACCATTCCTAGTAACAAGCAGGTTATAATTAATGATAACTTATATGAGAAGATCTTTAAAAAGTCAGGTAAAATGGATTAAGTATGAATTTATTTTGGTGCAAAACATTTCAAAATCTGTGCATAGTGTTTTTTATAATACACATTTTACATGAACTTGGGAAACCCCCTAGTATATCTAGCACACCACAGTTTACAAACTCCTTTTTCCCGTTTGTCTCATTTCTTCCCAACCACTCTTTAATTTTTTTAATTGCCAGAGGGCATGTGTGTTTGCCAGAGAGATACTGAGAGGGAGAGGGAAAATATACCCTCCAGTGGGATGTGGTCATGCCACAATCCCTTCTTCTCCATTTTCCATCTTGTTGGAATTTAGGGTATAAATACACATGTGCCTGGTATATTTTTCAAGCTTCTGGGGCCAGGAGTCAAATCATAGTTAGCCATTTGGGATCTGGCTCCCTTAACCACTAAGCTATGAGGCTGGCCCCCTAGCCACCCTTTTGATTATTTATCCAGCCAACTAGGCAATGAGGGAACAAACACAGCCACGCGGTTACTGCCCTCACTGAGTGAGCACATGGGCTCTACGCTCAGACAACCTGGGTTGTGTGCTCTGTGACTTGTGAGCCCTGGGTTCCCGAGTGTGTTTCCTGGTGGTGGTTCTTCCGTATGTCTTGGACCTTCCTGTCTCTGAGGATTTCTAAACTCTAAAATCACAACTTTGCTAATTCTTTCTAAATGAATATGCTTTACCCCCCTCACAGGCAAGAAGTGGAAAATTGTCAACTCCTTGAAACAAAATGAAAGAGATGAAGAAAAGATGTATGAGTAAGTAGAGGGAAATCCTTCTGCTTTTTAGTTTTGAGAAGTGCCTCCTAACTTCCACTCTTGCCCTTCCACTACTCTACTAGTTTGATGGCAAAACCCCACTTCCTGTGGAACTGCAAAGTATCCTATCTGCCAACTCTCCCCCACTTTAAAGGCCAAGATTGCAGGACATTGTAGATATAGGAGCCACCTGGCTCCCTTCTGTCAGAGTCCTTTCTCAACTTCATCTATTTTGACAAAGGACATAGGTCAAGCTCTGGTTCTGGATTCTGGGCCCACCACCCAGGCTATACTTCTTTTCTTTAGATAGGTTACAAGTATAGTAAAGCTATTGCACTGAACAAAAATATACTATTCACATTATTTTTGTATTTTGTGATATATTTTGGGCTTTATGATTGTTTTCTGTGTCAGGGATCTGCTGCAAGGCCCCTTAGATTTAATGATTCACTAGAAGAACTCATAGGACCAGAAAAGCTATTTTACTCACAGTTACAGTTTACTATAGTAAAAGAATACAGAATAAAGTTGGCAAAGGAAAAAGACATGTGAGGGGAGTCCAGGAGACACTAGGAGCAAGCTTCCAGTTGTCCTCTTCCAGTGGAGTCTCACGGATAGCCTTAATTCTCCCAAGGATGATATGTGACAACAGGTGCAAAGCACTGCCAGCCAGAGAAGCTCATCTGATCCTTGGTGTCCAGGGTCTTTTTGTTTGTTTATAGGTTTTTGCCATAGGGCACATGCTTGCCACAAAGAGAGGGAAAGTGAAAAATCATCCCTCCAGGAGGGAAGGACATGCCACAATCCCTTCTTCGTTCTTCTTTTGGGATTTTCGGCATGCACAGGCACCCAGTGTGATTTTCCCTTTTTTTTTTTTTTAATTTATTTACATTTAATCACATGTCTTGACATTATATATTTCTTTTTCCAACACAAATACCATGCATGTCAGTCAAGACAAAGATGGTAGTATATACATTACCATTGGCAAATAGCTTCTCATTTTTAAACAATTCAGCATACTTTTACCAGTTTTTTCCTTCCCCTTTCCCCTCCCTCCCTTCCATACTAAACTTTTTTTCACATTTTATTGATTCAACAAGATCTTTTTTTTTTGAGATTTTATTTTTTTTTTGCTATAGGGCATGTGCACGTGCCAGAAACACAAAGAGAGACGGAGAGACAGAAACAAGAAATCACCCCCAGGGAGATGGCCACACTGCAATCCCTTCTCCTCCACTCTCCTCTTGGGATCTTGAGCATGCGCGCACACGCACCTGGCTTAAGTTTAAGACACCGGGTCTGGGACTCGAACCGCGGACCACTACGTGGGAGTCCAGCAACATAGCCATTACACCAACTGCTGGTCTCTCCTTTTGATTCTTTTTTATGGTGTGTTTTTCCACTTTCAGATCTTGGAAGAATTTCTTCACCTCCTAGAATTCGTCTCTTTTCTCCTGCATTTTATGGAGTTTGTTGTCTGTATTTTCTTGCATCTCTGTTAGCTTTGTCATTATAAATTCTTTATCTAACATTTCCACGAGTTCCATTGTACTGTCTGTGCGTAATTAAGGGAGGTTCTTTCCCCTTGGGGGAGAGAGATTATCTTGATTTCCCAAATTTCTTGTGCCTTTGCGGTGGTTTCTGGTCATGTGATGGATGATATGTCGTTACTGCCGCAGAGCTGACTTTCCCTGGGTGTTGGGCCAGAAGGAGGGGTTTGGGGCAGAGGCTTTCCGGTTAAAAGGGCAAGGCTAGGCCCACCTCAGATGCACGTGGATTCTGGCTTTTTGCTGAGTGTCGGCTACACATCAGTCTTCACTTGGCCTCAGGTCCAGCTGATCAGGCTCCCCTGAACCCCTGGTAACATGGTGGTTAAGGCACTGGATACCACTGGTTTGAGGCCCAGACCCAACAACTTGAAAAACATGCTGGGTCCATGTGCTCAAAATCCTTTCAGGGAAATAATCCTCCGTAATGAGACATGATGTTTCTCCTCCCACTTTGCAATGCTCCGCTTTTCTCAATTTACACTGCCAGCTGTGGAATGTTGAGGGTACGTAGACACATGTCAGGCCTTCCCGTGTCTTCATCTGAGGCTCATGTCCCTGGCCACAGCAAAGGCTCCCAGGCCACCTCTCTTGGGCATGCCCTGCGGCAACTGACCCACCCACCCCCCAGTGTGATTTTCAAGCCACTAGGTCCAGGGTTTGAACTGCAGTCGGCCATGTGGGAGTCTATGCCCCTTGCTGGACCTGGGGATTTTATTTCATTGGGGGGTTAGTCATGTACACATGGAACACCCACATGACTGTTTCATAAACTCCATCTCCAGCCCATCCATAAGCCAAACTGACACAGCATGGTCCAGGGCCCCAGGCAAACAAAATCAGGCGTTCACCATAAATCACATTATTAGTATAAACTATCTGGGACAACCAATGGCCCCAGGTATATGGAGACATCCTTATCAGGAAGGATATTCCAAGAGCTTAGAGGTTATCTCCCAGGAGCTAGTCAAGATTCAGTCCTTTCTTTGGAGTATGTGCACTATTTAAAACAATACCTGTTATTTTCTTTTTTTTAAAATTAAAAATTATTTTATTTAACTTTATTTTTATTTATTTATTTATCTTTAATTTGACCAGAGAGGGACAGAGAGAAAGAGAGAGAGAGAAAGTGAGAAAGCAAGCCACCAGGTCTGGGACTTGAACTTGACCATGTGGGAGTCCAGCGCCCCAACCAACATACCACCTACTGGCCACAAAATCTGTTCTTTTCTTAAATGGCCTTTGTTGAGGCTCCAGGGGCTCATCAAATAAGACCTCTGCCCCACCAATTTTGATCTCCTTGAGGAAAACACAAATGTGACAGGAAGCTAGGTATCACCTTTATTAAGAATAAAATTGGCATTATAAAATGGTTCTTCTCCATGGACAAGGGGGTTTCCTAACTCAGACCTGGGTAAATTTTACTGCCCAGTACATAGGCAGCTCCAGAAAACCTCAAGTATCTCTCAAAGGACAGTCCTCTTCCTTTGAATGGCAAAAGACATGAAGAGAATATGTGATTTCTGCAGTCAGGCGGGCTCTAGAGGAGACAGTGAGGGGAACCAGATTGTTTTCAAATTTAGCAACCAGATAAACTGACTTCCTCTTCTGGGAAAAGCCACGGAGTAGAGGGAAACACTCTGATAGCTCTCTTGTGCGTGTTCCTATATATGCTCACCCCAACAACACAAAGATGTTTATGCATTCCCGGGGGGACTTTATCATACACAGGAATTCAAAACTTAGCTCAGAAAAATCTAGCTACAGTTGGGAAATCAGTGTACATAAGGGAACGGAGGTCTAGGTGAGGAAACTTTCATAGTCTTTTTTTTATTTTAATTTTTTAGTTTATTTCTTCCTTCTATGAGTGAGATAGACAAGACCCCCCAACAGGGTCTTCACACCACGAACCATCCTTAGTTTCAGCTAGCCCCAAATCATGACACATGTGTGCCTGGCATACTCAGGGAGGTCTCCAGATGCCAACCTGGAACCTTCCCATGTGGATTAGTCTCACAGAGCACTGCATCTTACTGTCAGCCTATAGCATCTATCTTTTTGTTAAAACTCACCAAAGTGGTGCTGGCAGGTGGCATGGTGGTTAAGGGACAAAATTCCCACATGGCTGACTGTGGTTCAAGTCCCCGACCTGGCAACTTGCTTTCTTGCTTCTGCCCTCCACCCCCCCCCCCCCGCCCTGCACACTTTTTTTAAAATGGTGAGCACAGGCCTCCACCTCCCTGAAAGGGAAGGTGCCAGGCCCAGCCATAGCTGACAGGGAGTGAAGGGGCTTTGGGTACCTCGAAGTCATGTGGCAAAGGTAGAACCCTATGGTCACCTCCAACCACCCACCTGGCCCTGATCAAATTTTTAAAATAATAAATAACATTAAATAAATCATTCTAAAAACAAAACTCACTGAAGTATAATATGAATACAGAAAAGTCTACGTAGCAAGTGTATAACTCAATAAATTTTCTCTTTTTTTTGAGAGATTTTTGCTATGGGGTACATATGTTTGCCAGAGAGGCAGAGACAGAGAGACAGAAAGTGAGAAATCACCCCCCAGGGGGGATGGCCACATCACAATCCCTTCTCCATTCTTCTCTCAGGATCTTGGGCACGCATGCACACGTGCCTGGTATGAGTTTAAGCCACCAAGTCCAGGACTCAAACTGTGGTCACTACATGGGAGTCCAGTGACATAATCATTATGCCATCTGCTGGTCTTCTGGCATGAGTTGTAAGCCACCGGGTCCAGGACTCAAACTGCAGTCTGCTACATGAGAGTCCAGCTATGTAACCATTACGCCATCTGCTGGTCCTACTCAATAAACTTTCACAAATTGAACAGATCCAGGTAGCCAGTACTTAGATAAAAAATCAAGATACTACTAAACCTCAGATGGAAAGGAGATAGCCACCTTAACAGGGCCTCGTCAGGCTGCGATCCCTTCTCTCAGCCTCTAGCTCATCAGGATCTTGGGTGTGTACGTACTGGTGTGCTTTCAGGTGAACCCAGAATCCAAACCTCATGGTCGGCCATGTGGCTTCCAGCACTGCAGTTGAGTACACTACTGCCTGCACTACCCAGCCTGGCTCTACTACTTGTTTGTATGCTTTCCGTGAATGAAATCATATAGCATGTATTGTTTGGTATTGGTTTCTTTTGGTCAACATTATTTTTATGAGATTCATTGTGTGTAGTTGTAAATTATTCATTCTCCTTGCTATAGAGTATTCCATTGTGGGAATATAGCATAATTAATGTATCCATTCTATTGCTGATGGCCATTTGGGTAGAGTGATGAAAAATTTTACGTGTTTCTGTTTCTCTGAAGAGATGCAGGCAGTGTCTAGTTAGGGCTATTACAAATAGTGCTACTATGAAAGTCTAGTGTATGTTTTTAGGAAAACGTATGTAAGCATTTTTAAAAATTATTTATTTTATTTTATTTATTTATTCATTTATTATTAGTAGTAGTAGTTTGATCAGAGAGAGACAGAGGGTGAGAGAGAGAGGAAGTGAGAAAGAAGCCACCAGATTCGGGACTCAAACCCCGGTCGGCCATGTGGGAGTGTCCAGCACCTTAACCACCACGCCACCTGCTGGTCCCAGCATTTTGACAGATAAAGCCCCAGTAGGGAGACTGATGTCTCAGGGCATGTACAATCAGCCTTGGGAGTTTTGCAAACTGAAATACAATGGTGCCTACCCCTGTCCCTTCCTAATCTGGCTCGGGTGAATGCAGGAAGGTATTCTCCATGCTCTAAGTTATAGCACTTCAACTCTCTTCCTTCCATTTCATTTATTCCATGGGCTAGTCAAAACAGTTTATTTAGAACCAGTTATGAATGGGATTTAGGACCTAAAAAGGGAAGGAGATACTTCCAATTTGTAGGGACTAAGATTTCAAAATTCAACTTGTCCACTTTCCTTGACATTTTCTTTTAAATTCATTGATGGTAGATATGGTCTAAATCAAACTGACTCCCTCTCTTTTTCTCTCTCCAGGAATGTTCCTGATCAATCACCAGATCAAGTGCCCCCTCTGCCACCCAGAGGCGTGTTTTTGCCACAAGTCTCCTGTAAGTGGATTTTGTTGATAACAGTTTAATTCTGGGTCAGATAACAGATTTATCTAGGTGTCTTAGTTTGAGCTGCCATAACAAAAATACCATAGACTGAGCGGCTTAAACTTTTCATAATTCTAGAGGCCAGACGTATGAAATCAGGGTTCTGGCAATTCAGTTTCTAGTGAGGGCTCTCTTCCTGGCATGCAGACAGCTACTTGCTCTTTTCTCACATGGCCTTTCCTCAGTGCATTCAAGCTGGGGGAAGAGCAAAAGAGCTAGCTCTCTGGTGTCTCTTCTTACAAGGACAATAATCCTGCTGGATCGAGGTCCCACCTTCATGAGCTAATATATTGATAACTTTGATCCCGCAGGTTAGGGCTTCAATATATGAGTTTTGTGGGGATTCAAACATTCAGCCCACAACACTAGGATTGGTAGATGCAGCATTCTGTTGAAGAGAAACAAAGAGGGGGCTGGCGGGGGGGGGGCATAGTTGTTGGGGTGCTAGACTGTCACATGGCCAACTGCAGTTCGAGTCCCAGATCTGACAGCTTGCTTTCTCACTTTCTTTCTCTGTCTCTGGTGTGTGCACATGCCCTATAGCAAATTAAAAAATAAAACAACAATAAATAAATAATTAAATAAGTAATTATTTTTTAAGAAATAATTTTTAAATTTTATTTCTTTATTATTATTACTAAATTTGACTAGAGAGAGAGAGAGAAAGGGAAAGTGAATAAGGAAGCCTCCAGGTCCAGGATTTGAACCATGGTCAGCCATGTGGGAGTCCAGCACCCCAACAGCCATGCCACCTGCTGGTACCAATAAATAATTTTTTAACAGAATTATTTATTTGGGGACCAGCACATGGTGTAATGGCTACGTTGCTGGACTCCCATGTAGTTGACCATGGTTCGTGTTCTGGACCTGGTAGCTTAAACTCACATTGTGCGCGTGTGCGTGCATGCCCAGGATCCCGAGAGGAGAATGGAGGAGAAGGGATTGTGGCATGGCCATCCCCCCTGGGGGGTGATTTCTCACTTTCTGTCTCTCTGTCTCTCTCTGTCTTCCTGGTGAGTGCACATGCCCTATAACAAAAAACTCTCAAAAATATTATTAATTTAATTTATTTATTCATTCACTTATTTTAATTTGACTAGAGAGAGAGAGAGAAAGTGAGAAAGCAAGCCACCAGGTCTGGGACTCAAACCATGGTTGGCCATGTGGGAATGTCCAGTGTGTTAACCACCACGCCACCTGCTGTTTCCCCAATAAGTAATTCTAAAAAAAAGAAAGAAAAAAAAAGAGATTAATAAATTTAAAGGGGACAGAATAAGTTCCAATGCTCCAGATATTCCATGGGCAAATTCATCTTCAAATTCTAGCTTGGAAAAGGAATTTGGAGGTGTCTCTAGGCCTCTTCCACTTTTTATCAGAAACACTTTATTATCTAGTTCACTATCATGTGGTTAAATGCTTTGTGTAGGGAGCCAAATCCCACTCAGCCGATCATGATTCAAATCCTGACCCTGGTAGCTTGAAAAACACTCCAAGTACTTGTACACGTGTGCCTAAAATCCTGACAGGAAGGAGAAATGGAGAAAAAAAGCAGTTTTAGCATTACCCCACTCCAATGGATAGTTCTCTCTCCCTCTCTCTCCATTCCTATAGCAAGTGCATGTACCTTCTGACAATTAAAAATCAAAAATGGATCTGAGCTCTTCCACTGTCCTTCTTTTTACTATACACCCATTCTGCACTAATTACACCTTCTGAAAACATCACGCCCCCCTTTCTTTTCAGCAGAGAGATTTGTACATGAGCAATTACCAATAGTCCTGGAAAACAATGTAAATCACTAACAGGGTCGTGCCAAAAAGAAAATATGGGGAGCTAGCAGGTGGCATGGTGGTTAAGGCACTGGACTCCTCCATGGGTGACCGTGATTTGAGTGTTAGACCCAATGACTTGAAAATTACGCCAGGCATGTACGCATGTGTGCTCAAAATCCTGAGAGGAGAATAAAGAGAGGATTATGGCATGGCCACTCTCCCAGGGGATGTAAGTAATTTCTCACTTAACCTTTCTCTGTCTCTTTCCAGCAAGCATGTGCACTCTATGGCTAAAACCTTTAAAAAAAAAAAAAAGAGGAAATATGGTTTATATTACTTCCTTGTGCGGATTAGGATCTATAGACATGACAGTACTCATCTGGCTACCAGTGCTGATCTGTCTTGTTTCCTTTCTTTTTCTCTTCTTTTCTTTTCAAGGTTTCTTTTTCCTCTTTCTTTTTCTTTTTTCTTTTCTTTTTTTTTTTTTTTTTTTTTACTGCCAACTGAGACGTGCACTTACCAGAGACAGAGAGAGAAACACCTCCTAATGGGGCATGGTCTTCCCATCAGTGTTTTGGGATTGATACACACATGCCAGGCTGTTTTTCAAGCCACAGAGGGCAGGACATGACCCATGGTTGTCCAAATGGAATTTGACTGCCGATGTACAGGGTCTAACTGCTGCACTGCAGGCCTGACCTTGCAATGTTTCTTTTCTACACTTTTGCTCCAAGGTTTCCATGCCATGCAGTCTTAGGCAGAGAGACATTGGAGTCAGAATGTCTGATCACTACTTGTCATTATCTTCTTGGGTGATCTGAAACCGTCATGGTGTGTCTGTTTCCTCTGCAAAATGGGGATCTGGCACACCAGGAAGTGAAAGGATCCAAAACCCAAGAAAATCAAGCTAAGCCTCTTGGTCAAAAATAGATACATAATAGCTTTGCATCTAAGGATCTTTTTCTGTGCTCTAGCCCCACAGGAAACCCTAAGTGAGCCACCAGTTACATACTCACTGGTAAATAAAGTTAGAAAGAAGAAGATCATTTCCATTCCAAGCTACATTGAGCCTGAAGATGATTATGATGATGTTGAAATCCCTGCAGGTACAAAAAACCATCATTTTGAAACAGCTGTTTCTTCTTTTTGGCAAGCTGAAGAGGGCTCACACAACTTATTTTAAAATCACCAAGAATGGTTGAACTTCAGAAGATCTCCAGATCCTTAAAGCCAGTGGTTGTTTCATGAAGCTCTATAAGATAAGCACTTCCTGAACTCTCGACGAAGATGCCTCATGATCAAGTAACTGCAGTCAGAGGCAAGATGCAGAGGCTTGGCCTTGAGGATGAAGAAGGGTCAGCCCTTGTGTTCCAGTGGAGGAACTCTTCACGAGCAGGACCCCTGGGCTTCGCAGTCTCTGCCTGTGAGAAACTACTCGTTTCTCAGCACTCTT